GAAGTCAATGGAGCTACACCAATTTACAGAGGCTGAAAATCTGGTCCAATTTATTTTGTAAGCATTGTAACAAAAGTGGAGCTGCTATGTAATAACCTAAGAATATTGAGATGTACTAATGCTATAAATACTGTAGGAACTGATATGTAATAATCTAAGAATATTGAGATGACAATTTTAGGAACACTGTATGTGAGCTGCTCAGTGAGGGGAAGTTATTGTGCAATTGGGTTAAGACTGTCCTGTATGAATGTACTGAGCTAGCTTAAGTGGGGACTGGGGGGAAAAATAAATAGGACGAAGACAATGGCCCAGATATGGACACTCCCGCACACACTTGCAAGGCAATGGGCAAAGCTATCTACTTCAAGGACTTTGAATCCTTCTCCAACAAAGTTGCAAGCCTTTTTCTGCCAAGACTAGGAATTAATAGATCAAAGAGCTACAAACAGTTAAAAGATGACTTGGTCTCTGGGACGCGGGGTGATCACAAAGACTAAGCAGCTTTTAAAGGATACTCTCCATGAAGCAGGGGGAAAGAAATGGATTGAGAGTTAAGGGAACAAATTATGCAAACCCTAGAAGTCTCAGGAGACCTTTAGAAAGCTTAGAAACACCAGCATCCCCTTGTGAAAGATGGTAAATGCCTGGTAGGCTAGACATATACATAGTATGTTTTATAGTTTTTAAGATCTGTTTTTTCTTAAATGCTTTGGTTCTAAATAGGTAATATTTTGCTTTAAGGAAGCTGCCTGGTCATTGTTTACTACTGTCACTGCTCCCAGAGGGAACAGAAATGCAGGGTGTGAGCCTAAGTCAGGCCTGCTGAATTAATCATGGTGGATCACTGGGGACTGCAGCTAAGGCCTGATCTGAGAATGAAGAAATCATGTGATTCCACCCCAAGAGAGAGGTGATGGCTAGAGGCTTGAGACCTGAGAGGAGGTGAGCTCAAAGAGATCAGAAGGGGCCAGAAATGCAGTTAGCCTTGTGTCATAACTATAAAGGGAAGGGTAACAGCCCTCCTGTGTACAATACTATAAAATCCCTCCTGGCCAGAGACTTCAAAATCCTTTTACCTGTAAAGGGTTAAGAAGCTCAGGTAACCTGGCTGACACCTGACCCAAAGCACCAATAAGGGGACAAGATACTTTCAAATCTTGGTGGGGGGGAAGGCTTTTGTGTGTTCGCCTTGTTTTGGGGGGAGTTCGCTCTTGGGACTAAGAGGGACCAGACATCAATCCATGCTCTCCATATCTTTCTGAACAAGTCTCTCATATTTCAAACTTGTAAGTACAGCCAGGCAAGGCGTGTTAGTTTTATCTTTGTTTTCTCAACTTATAAATGTACTTTTTGCTAGGGTGTTTACCTCTGTTTGCTGTAACTTTGAACCTAAGGCTAGAGGGGGTTCCTCTGGGCTCTTTAAGTTTGATTACCCTGTAAAGTTATTTTCCATCCTGATTTTACAGAGATGATTTTTACCTTTTTCTTTAATTAAAAGCCTTCTTTTTAAGAACCTGATTGATTTTCCTTGTTTTTAGATCCAAGGGAGTTGGATCTGGATCCACCAGGAGTTGGTGGGAGAAAGGAGGGGGGATGGTTAATTTCTCCTTGTTTTAAGATCCAAGGGGTTGGATCTGTGTTCACCAGGGAATTGGTGGAAAAGTATCTCAAGGCTACCCAGGGAAGGGAGTTAGCCCATTTGGGAGTGGTGGCAGCGGACCAGATCTAAGCTGGTAGTTAAGCTTAGAAGTTTTCATGCAGGCCCCCACATCTGTACCCTAAAGTTCAGAGTGGGGAAGGAGCCTTGACACCTTGTTACTGTGACAAGTATGTTATATCTGGTATTATCCTACATGTTCTTTATAGGATTTTATTTATATAACAATGTTAGGCAAATCATTTACATGTAAGTATTTTCATAAATGGCATATTTTGAGTGTCATTAGAAAAATAAAATGTGTTTTAAAAATAATTTAAAACACGAAACTGTTTTTGTGCTTCCATGACTGGGTCTTCCAGGCATTTCATATCAGAAACTCTGTTTCTCAAGGCCCACTTCCAATTTTCAGCTGTTCTGTGTTTTTCTTCAGCGAGGAAGAAATAACATTCCATAAAACTGCTGTTTGTTCAATGAAAATGGCCACTTGCCCAAGCAGCAGGCAACTTGCAGAACGGATCAGCCATTATCTTGGTGTCACTTCATTTAAAGGGAAGAATTTATGCAGAAGTTCAAGGAAATAAAAAAGTAGGTAGTGTGGCCAAGCAGGCATGGGAACTGTCATTTTGTTTAGATGTGGACATAGCTAAAAATGTAAATTGTTGTCAGAGAAGTAGCTCTTTGGCATTTGCTCTTTGGGGCTCAAAACCTATATGGGCGTTTGCCCCCCCCCCCCTCACTTTACAAGGTTATATCAGAAAATAAAAAAATTAAAGAGCAAAGAACTTTCACATAATGCTGCTTACAGATGCTATAAATGCTTCTGATTAGATTCACAAGAGTTTCTGAAAGCAGGATGCAAAAGATTGGACAGCCATCCAGAAATATTGAAGCTCTACAAAGCATATTTTCAAAAATAATTAAGTACCAAATGTGTCCTGTCTTAAAATTGCAACAGTCTGACTGAATCATGGGTGCTGGAAGGACATCAAAAGTGGGGAGGAAACATGGGGTAGAAATGCCACTGAAATTTGGCATGGCCATCCCTCTATCATGACAATAGAGGAGGGGTGCTGCTGTTACTACACCCATCTCCAGTCAGGAGCCAAAAGGGGTTGGTGGAGCCCTTGCTGAGGTCAGGTTCTCAAAAGTGTGTGTGGGAGGCATGGTTCCCCTTGTTTAAAGGGGGGAGGGTGGCAATGGCCATTTGCTCCCCCCCAGCACCTGTGGACTGAATATATTTTACACATATTAAGAACATAAGTGATCTCTCTCCTGCCATCCATCTCCACCCTCTGACAAACAGAGACTAGGGACACCATTCCTTACCCATCCTGGCTAATAGCCATTAATGGACTTAACCTCCATGAATTTATCTAGTTCTCTTTTAAACCCTGTTATAGTCCTAGCCTTCACAACCTCCTCAGGCAAGGAGTTCCACAGGTTGACTATGCGCTGCGTGAAGAAGAACTTCCTTTTATTTGTTTTAAACCTGCTGCCCATTAATTTCATTTGGTGGCCCCTAGTTCTTATATTATGGGAACAAGTAAATAACTTTTCCTTATTCACTTTCTCCACACCACTCATGATTTTATATACCTTTATCATATCCCCCCTTAGTCTCCTCTTTTTCAAGCTGAAAAGTCCTAGCCTCTTTAATCTCTCCTCATATAGGACCCATTCCAAACCCCTAATCATTTTAGTTGTCCTTCTCTGAACCTTTTCTAATGCCAGTATAGCTTTTTTGAGATGAGGAGACCACATCTGTACGCAGTATTTAAGATGTGGGCGTACCATGGATTTATATAAGGGCAATAAGATATTCTCCGTCTTATTCTCTATCCCTTTTTTAATGATTCCTAACATCCTGTTTGCTTTTTGACTGTCGCTGCACACTGCGTGGACGTCTTCAGAGAACTATCCACGATGACTTCAAGATCTCTTTCCTGATTAGTTGTAGCTAAATTAGCCCCCATCATATTGTATGTATAGTTGGGGTTATTTTTTCCAATGTGCATTTCTTTACATTTATCCACATTAAATTTCATTTGCCATTTTGTTGCTCAATTATTTAGTTTTGTGAGTTCTTTTTGAAGTTCTTCATAGTCTGCTTTGGTCTTAACTATCTTCAGCAGTTTAGTATCATCTGCAAACTTTGCCACCTCACTGTTTACCCCTTTCTCCAGATCATTTATGAATACGTTGAATAGGATTGGTCCTAGTACTGACCCTTAGGGAACACCACTAGTTACCCCTCTCCATTCTGAAAATTTACCATTTATTCCTACCCTTTGTTCCCTGTCTTTTAACCAGTTCTCAATCCATGAAAGGATCTTCCCTCTTATCCCATGACAACTTAATTTACGTAAGAGCCTTTGGTGAGGGACCTTGTTAAAGGCTTTCTGGAAATCTAAGTACACTATGTCCACTGGATCCCCCTTGTCCACGTTTGTTGACCCCTTCAAAGAACTCTAATAGATTAGTAAGACATGGTTTCCCTTTATAGAAACCATGTTGACTTTTGCCCAACAATTTATTTTTCATCAGATCATCTTCTGTGTGTCTGACAATTTTATTCTTTACTATTATTTCAACGAATTTGCCTGGTACTGACGTTAGACTTACCTGTCTGTAATTGCCGGGATCACCTCTAGAGCCCTTTTAAAATATTGGCATTACACTAGCTATCTTCCAGTCACTGGGTACCGAGGCTGATTTAAAGGACAGGTTACAAACCATAGTTAATAGTTCCGCAATTTCACATTTGAGTTCTTTCAGAACTCTTGGGTGAATGCCATCTGGTCCCGGTGACTTGTTACTGTTAAGTTTTTCAATTAATTCCAAAACCTCCTCTAGAGACACCTCAATCTGTGACAATTCCTCAGATTTGTCACCTACAAAGGACGGCTCAGGTTTGGGAATCTCCCTAACATCCTCAGCCGTGAAGACTGAAGCAAATAATTCATTTAGATTCTCCACAATGAATTTATCGTCTTTAAGTGCTCCTTTTGTATCTCGATCATCCAGGGGCCCCACTGGTTGCTTAGCAGGCTTCCTGCTTCCTGCTTCTGATGTACTTTTGCTATTACCTTCTGAGTTTTTGGCTAGCTGTTCTTCAAACTCCTTTTTGGCTTTTCTTATTACATTTTTACACTTAAAAAAGAAAATCTTTGTTTCAATTGCCAATAAATCAAAATGGAAAAGCAATATCTACTACAGATAAATGCATACTGAACTACCAAAGAGGCACTTTAGACAGGACTCTTTTTACAAATGCCAGTACTTTTCAAAGTTCAACATTCTCATTAGCTGTGTGCAGAAAAGAAGATTTAAATCTTACCTTCACATAATGGATAAGACGCTCTGCTACATTGACTTTATACGTCTCTATACCCAGTTCCTTGGCCAATCGGAGGATCCGGTTTTGTGTAGGTCCTATATACGCTCCACCAACGTCTACATAGTTAACGTGCTTGTTCTGTCAAAAGAAAAATGGCAAGAATTAGAAAGGCTAGAGGATGGTCTGCAACAGAAAGCTCTAGGAACTGGAAGGTGGTCTTAGATATTGCAAAATCTCCTCAACGACCTCTGTCCTGCACCCATTGTGGTCAATGACAAAACTCCATTGACTCAAACAGGTACAGGATCGAGTCAACAACAGAATTCAAGAGGCCCTATTGTCTCACTGTTCATTTCCTGCCAGAGCAAAGAAAGTTAGCGCCTGATTCTCCACTGCGGTCTACATTATGTAGTTATTTACACTTGTGCAATGGTGCAAAGTGAGTGTCAAACACTGCTAAATTACAATTCTCCACGCCTTAACACAGTCCTGCCCAAATGTCAATGAGTAGACAAGGTGCAAAGCAGTGGGGAACCAAGCACATAGTTCTGATGAGGAGGGTTATGAGAGACATAGAGGACTATTACACAGTGACGAACTGTGAGCTCATGGTAATGCTGTCATGACAGTTTGATAATTATTATTTTCAGTATTTCAATATAGTTTTCCCTATTGTCTTTTTAATAATTTGAGGTTCTTAGCATACAAGATGCAATGTTAAAATCTAAATAAATGGCCATTAAAAAAAATTTATCCCTACCTTTTCAGAATCCATATTGTACTGTGTTTCTGTACTGAAAAAGAGGCTCCCTCAATCCTTGCAGAAGGTTTCCTCTATTAATACTGAAACTGAAAATCGATCTGGTAGCAAAGCTTGCCGTCTCTATCTAGATACTTACACGGCCCCTAGCTCTGTTGCATCTGAGCACCTCACTAGGAGTATTTGAAAACAATAATTCCTTCTCCAGCACCATAGGACTGGGATATAATACAGTGTGAACATGTAACACCGCTGCATTAGTGACTGGCAGTGAAGGAGCTCCAGGCAGAACTTTGATCATCATCAGATACACTTGGGAAGAAAGCAAAAAGTAAGAGAGACATACTATTGTTAGCAGGCTGATTTCCCAAGACAATAATTCTGTTCGATTTTGTTTATAGCAAGTGTTTTAAATCAAGTATTTTTAATGTCATAGAAGGATGTAGTTTATGTGCTGGGGTTTCTAGTACAATGGTTGCTATTGAATACTAATATTTATCCCCAGTTACCACACAGCAGTGTCTGACATACTTAAGCATCTCTCTATATTTAGATTAATAGCTGCAATATTTGTACATCACAGTGTGGTATCTCAGTTAAATGCTTATTTTGTTAATGGCAACCAATGTAGTTGGGAAACAAAGTACAGTACATTTCTGTAATAGTTTTGTTCCAGACAACCTTATAGGGAAATGGCATTAAAAGAAACCTCTGAGCTGTAATGAAGAGCCTATCACATTAATATTCAAGAGCCTTGATTGTTTCTTGTCACAGACCTGTGAAAGTTTTCATCTTCTATTGGATTTTACCCATGTAGAAAGAGTGCCCATTTGCCCTAAAACAACACCTTTGGTTCTTCCAAACATACATCTTTCTACAATATGATCCTGGCTGCGTACGGCATCTATAGCAACTCTGTATTTTCTGACATCATAACAATACCCAATGAGAACTAGCTCATCAATATATTGTATTGGCCTGGCAACTTCCTTCCACCGGCACATGTATATAAAGTAATAATGATTTGACTCTCCTCTGCAATGGACAGAAGTCTAACTTGTATGTGAAGGAGGAAGGGAATATTTTCAAATTCAGTGTCTGATATATGTTAAGCACATTGGCAACCACTGTACATGCCACGTAATCCAAATGAGATGTAGTGTTTAATAAGCAACCTTTACATTTATATCCATTTTGAAGATCCACATTATTCAGAACCTCTTCCTATCCTTAGCCCATTTCTTGGCAATGGCAGAAGTGGCACTATGTGCCCACAAAATCAAGCGTTACTGCTGTCAAAAAGCACTTACCTTAACCGTGAAAGTCCTTCCTCCAACTCTGTTACGGGCCTCTAGAACCACAACACTAAGCCCAGATTCAGCCAGCAGCTTGGCTGCTGACATACCTACAGGAAAAAGAGACATTATTTTAAAGTATAAGACCTATACAGAGCAAGAAGAGCTTTTTAAAAATAACAAAACTGTGTGGTCAGAACTTTCCATACGGTCTCTAGAAGCCTTGAAAAGGCCTGCAAGCTTTAGCACCCTATTAAATGTGAAATGCATTTTCACTACAGAATCATCTGGTTAACATTAACTTTGAGTGCTCTGTGTAAAAAACACTGAGAGAGATAAAATCCCAAAGACTCAAGCTTCATTCTCCAAGGGTTTAAAAACTTATTAAGATTTTAGACAACAAGATATCAGCTATTTAGTGCAGGTACTGTTTCCTTCTATGTGTTGCCTAAAGAGATAGGCCCCCAGTGTTGGTTGTAGCCACTAGGTGCTACAAATAATATATAATAATGATATATAGAATGACATCTCAGGAAAACAGCCTTTCCTATTTCTTCTCTCTCCCATCAACTCTCTGTCTCACTCCCGGCCACTACCTCCCATCCATAGTCAGAAGTAAACAGTATATTTGATGTAGGGATTTATTTTAATGCAGCAGGTTTTGGCCCTGGCAATCGAATTGGCTGAATGTGGATGCTTTGCAAGATAAATTATTTTCTCTTCCGGGTGATCTAATTATGAGAGCACATGATGGAGATCAGAGACACAGAAAAACCAATAGGACAGCAATCCTCTTTACTTTTATGAATGTGAACCAAGATTGTAAAAAACAATCACAAGTTTGTCAAACCAGATTATCCCACTGTTCCTTAGGCCAATTTGGCATAGAGCTTCTTTTTTTTGAAATATCGGAAAGACAGTCTTAGCTTTCCAAAAAGATACCCTGCAGTAAGGAACAGTAATTTAATATTCATGCTGATCATACTCCTTAGAGATGTGATTAAAAAAACCACTGCTTTTACACACACACACACACACACACACACACACACACACACACACACACCCCTACCTCAAAAGGCCAGATCTCTCTCACTCTCTCACACACTCTCATACACTCTCTCTCTCTCCAAAAGGCCAGATCATACATCATTCTAAGGCTGTGGACAGCATAACTGTGTGTTTGCATTTGTTCTGAAGACAAAATGGAATAATCCCTATAGCCCTTGTGCAGATGATCCTTTATTACATAGGTAGGAAAAACATTCATAAGAAAAAAAAATCAATCATTCTCAGAAACTGAGAAAGTTAAAATGCCCTGTTGTTGCGTATATGAAATACGAGATTACCACAATTTCTTTCTTTCATAAGAATTGTTGGATTACTAGCAGATCGTAGGGTGCAGTTAATTCTTCCATTCTCTTTCTATTCAATACTTAAAGTTTTTGAATGTAAGACGTATGCTAGAGGAAAAAACATCTTCCAGACCTACCTCATTTCTCTCAACATTTGATTTTTTTTTATAAACCACGTACAGCTTTTCTGCATGTCAGAGATTTCAAAGAACATTTTCATTTTTATTAGGAGCTCCATATTTTAAGTGCAAAAGGCTTTCTTCCTCCCCAACAGAGATACAGAAAACACAGTGTAGTGTTGGAAACATAAACTGAATCTTCCTCTGTGTAAATATTTTTTGTATCAAGGGAGAGAGCTGTTCAGTTAAATAGATAACGGCTTCTGGGTTATCAGAAGTGGATTTTTTACATTCATGAAAGAGAAGAGGGAATTAACCTATACACCATGACATTAAAGAATCAAAAAAGTATCAATAATTCTTTTTTGGAGATTTATCCTGTAGTCATAGTTCTGAGAAGAAAAAAATGTGCTGTGTTCTTATGTTACTCTATGACATAATAGTACTCAAACACTTGGTATTCGAAGTATTGTGCACCCATCATGTACCTAAAAGTTGTAATAGTTACACATTTATGCCTACAAAGACTTGAAATATTAGGACTTTCTATGTGGTTACGTGGTATGTACAGGATAAAAGCAATTGCTAGTTAGGAAGAATTATAGTTAGAGTGGGTTGGCTGCTGTAATTTTGTGGGCTAATTGCGTGACAGGTGCAAATCAATAAGGAGTACAAATATTAACCCTCTGTTCAGCAGGGAAGATGGGTAAGTGTGGCTGAGGAACTGTAACTCATTTAATCTTGTTTAATGTTACGCCTTTGCGCTACAGTCTTATATATAAGTTTCACTATTTTTAAAGCATGTGTCTACGTATATTTGAGTCCATTAGATGGTTTCATGAGGTGGTATGGGCTGCCCTGCGTCCATGTTTCATGGAAACGGTGACATAGATGAGAGCTAACTGGCTGAGACAAAATTCAGATAAAGCCAAGGCAATGCCGATAGGGCATAGGAAGAAGTTAGATAAACAGCAGAGTTTATAGCAGCAGCCAGGGGTTCCCCAAGAGTGGAGGAGGCCCCCGCTTGGCCCCTGACCAGAGCTGGAGATTTGGCCTGGCTGCCTCTTCATCATGACAGAGGTGTAGCCAGATGGCACTACAACCCCGTGTACAAGGTTGCAACATCGCTCATTCAGATTTGACCTGGCTGCCCCTCCAACAGGACGGGGGAAGGGGAATAGCTGGGCCAAATTTGGGTGACACTGTGACCCCATGCACCTGCTTCCCTCCCTCCCCAAAAAAAATCTTTGCAGTTCTTCCGGTGCCCATGGGCACTGGGCATCCCCAGTCCCCAGGGACAAGCAGAGCAGGGGACACTGGGAACCCCCAGTCACAGGAGGGTGGGGTGACTAGATATGGGCTTTTGGTGCTTCATGGGGAGGCAGAAATAGGATGGGGTCTGGGGCTCCCAGAACTGCCTGGCCCCTGGTGATTCCTAGATTCAAAGGCCAGAAGGTACCATTTGGATCATCTAGCTTTATCTCCTGTATAGCACAGACCACAGAATGTCACCAAAATAATTCCTAGAGCAGATCTTTCAGAAAAACATCCAATCTTGGTGGTGGGGATAGTGCTCTTCAGCCTGACCACCTCTCTGGGTAACAGCTCCGGACTAGTTGTGGAGTAGGGACAGAGAGGAGAGCTCAGACCTGGTGCAGGGGAAGAGCATGGGGTTGGGTGTGGGATGGGGAGATCGTGGGGCTGGGCGCAATGGGGAAAGCTTGGAGCTGGGCGGGTGGCAGCGGGGGTGGAGGGGAGTGTGTGTGCAGCTGGGTGCAGAGGAGAGTGTGGGTCTGGGTGCAAAGGTAGTGTGAGCGCTCAGGACTGGATATGGGGAGCAGTAGGTGGAGAGCTCAGGGCTGAGTGTGGGGAAAGCAGCGGAGGTAGTGTGAGGCTGGGAGCATGTGGAGAATGCAGGGGAGAGAGCTTGTGGCTGAGTGCAGGACAGAGGATAGAGAGCTTTGGGCCTCCTCCTTAAGAAAATTCTGGTGGCACCCCAGTAGCAGACATGATTGCATGGGTCTATGCCCATCTTTGGTTACTGAGATTCACAAACGAGGGATTTTTGGATGCCCAGCTGTTTCTGGATATTCAAGTAGCAGCGGTTGCCAAGAGTCCTTTATATTATTGGTGCTGGACTACTAGGTTGCATCCTTTCCTTTTGGGTTTGGGGAGCCCTGCCGTTGTCACCTAGAGGTGAGCCAAACACCTCTAAGGAGTTCCATACTGCTTCCATGTTCTCTTTTTCAAGTTTGTCGGAGACAATCCCATCCCACCTTCTCCTTCCACTCCCTAGTCCTGCAGCATGTCTCAGTCAGACAGCTGGCAGAAACTGGGCAAGGGCCAGAGACCCTCTGGGTCAGGGCTGGCTCACTGACGATGGGCAGAGAGCCCATCGGTGGAACAGAGACAATGCCAAGAATTTCAAGTTTACAAATATTTAACACCTAATGAGAGAGTGAGCAGAGATGACCGATTTAAGCTCCCTCTTGAAGTTTGGGTGAAGATCCTTCGTGTCATGTAAACAGGGGTGCAACCTGAGGTTTCCTAAGGAGGGAATTCAGGTTACCTGCCAAGTAGCAGAAGTCACCCCAAAAAGGTGTGCAGGAGGTGGACAGTGGCCATGGGGAGCTGAGTCCCAGAAGAAAGAGAAGGCTGGGGGTGGAGAGAGACATGGGGAGGCAGGGGTGGGGGGTAGGGTGCTGTGGTGCAGTGGGGGAAAACTGGGAGACAATAGGGGCAGTGTGAGGAGTCCTAGGGGAGCAGGAGGTGACTCCCCAGAGAGGCTGTGCCAGTCTCACCTCCCCACAACTTGTGCCCAGTTCCTGCTACCCATGGGAGGCACTGCTATTCAGGAGTCTCTGCTGTCTAGCTCCCAGCATCACCTGACTCTGGCTCTGCCCTGGCTCCTGGTGGCTCCAAGCCCTGAACTCTCAACTGCACTGATCCACCGTTGAGCACTCCCACCCAGGCCTGGCACTTGCCAACTCAGAGGAAGCCCCTCCCGTTCAGGCCTAGCACTACTACTGGGCACTGGCACTGGGACCCCCAGGCAGCAGCCTAATGGGGAGGAGGTTGCCTTGGCCCCATCCCTTTATAGTCCCATGTTTGCCCCACTCTGGGCTTGTGCCTCAGAAGCTCGGGGAGCAAAGGGCACCCCCAGCTGCAGAGGTCAGGGCGCAAAGTGCACAGGAATACGTAGTGTCTATGGCCAAGGGTGGGGGGGGGGGGTCTGGGCACTCTGCCTTCCCCTCTCCCTTCATTGTGCCTTTGCATATAACCACAGCATGGGAAATAAAGAGGAATATCCTACAATATCCACCAGCAGATTGGTGGATGATTGCCTTCCTGAATGGGTCAAAAATAGACACCCCCCTCCTCCATTTGCACTTCTTCTCCTCCTCTTCCGCCCATTTCTTTCTCTTCCCCCGTCCCTTGACATATACTATAGGGCTATACGTTCTCAGCTTAGGGCTCCATGTCTGTGCATGGAGGGGAAATGAATTCTCCCTCTGCAGCCTGCCCCTCCCTTCCCACACTCTACTCTATTGCAGCCCCACCACGCACAGTACAGTTAGAAATCAATTGGGCTTCTCTAGCTTTTTCCCAACATGCAGGGGAAAGCGGCAAAAGTGA